CAACTTATATTTTAGTAAAAACTTCTAATACACATATAAATAAAATTATTACACATTCATCAGTGATAAGACTTACCACATATCATGAGAAAGTAAGAGTTAGCCAAGAAATGTAAAGATGATTAAACATTAGCAAATCTGTTGATGTATTTCTCAAGATCATCAGATTAGAAAAGAAAAAAAATCTGAATCGATCCAGAAAAAATTAATAAAACTTCATGCCTATTCCTAACTCTTACACTAGAAATAGCAAGAAATCTGTTTTTTGATAAGGCCAATATCTGAGCCCATTTCCTGCTGTTACGATTAATATCACAGTCTGGGTAATTTACAAAGAATACAAGTTTATTTAGCTCACAGTGCTAGAGTGCAAGAGGTCCAAGAACATGGTGCTGATGTCTGGGGAGGGCCATCCCATAGTGGAAGGGTACAAGGGCAAGAGAGAATGTGAAAAAGAGAGCACAAGGGGCCAAGATCAATTTGGGGACCAGGATCACTTTATAACAACCTGCTCTCATAAATGACTCACTCCCAAGAAAACTACTTTAATCCACTTGTGAGAGCTCCACCTCTTAGGAGGCCTCACCTGGCAACACAGTTGCATTTAGGGTTAAGCTTCTAACACACGAATTTTGGGAGACACATTCAAATCATAGCAGTTAACTACATAACCCCACAGCAAGTATTGTATTCAACATCATTCATACTAGTGTCAAATGAATTTGTAATTTTGTTAGAGGCCCTAGGCAGTGCAATAAGACAAAAGAAATAAGTATAGATATTGGATTAAATGAAAGAAAACTAAGGTTATTTGTAGATGAAGTGATCATCTATATAAAACAGGATCGACTAAAAAATTACTAGAACTAATAAAAGAGTTTTATAAGGTGTCAAATATTAAATCAGCAAATAAAAATCAATAGATTTTTCAAGTATAATAGCTTTGTACAAATCAAGTTTAACCAATTAGGAAATGATGTAGGCAAACACAATGATTTCATTAGTAATAACCTTAAAAACTTGTAATATCTGAGGATAAACTTAACAAAAAATATGCAAGACTTGTATGAAAAAAATTTAAACTTTAAATTTTAGGCAATCAACCTGCCTCAGCCTTCCAGAGTGCTAGGATTACAGGCATGAGTTACCCTCAGCCAGTAAAATGGATTTTTAAAAATGAATTCCATATATACACATAGAGTAAAATGCTCTGCTAAAAAAAAAAGCTATAAAATATAAGAAAATATATTTTAGAATATATTTTTATATATTATATTTTGAAATATATTAAAGACCTGAATAAGGCTGGGCGAGGTTGTTCATGCTTGTGATCCCAGCACTTGGGAAACGAAGGCAGGTGGATTGCCTGAGCTCACAGGTTTGACACGCACAGCAAGAGCAAGACCCATCTCTAAAAAAATAGCTGGATGTTGTGCCGGGCGCTTGTAGTTCCAGCTACTTGGGAGGCTGAGACCAGACAATCTCTTGAGCCCAAGGGTTTGAGGTTGATGTGAGCTGTGATGCCACAGCACTCTACCAAGGGCAACAAAGTTAGACTCTGTCTCAAAAAAAAAAAAAAAGACCTGAATAATAGTTACATCATGTTTCTGGATGACAACAATCAATGTTAAGTTTTCACCAAAATATTTTAAAAGTTAATATAATCAAGAAATGCTAAGAAATGTGACAAGCAGGTTTTAAAATTCATTTTAAAAAGAAGAAAAATGAATGAAGGGATAAGTTACCTTATAGGACATAAAAACATGATAAAAGCATAAAAGTCATAGTAAT